ACCAGATGTCTCGGGCCTGACCTCTGGGTCCACCCGTCACTCATCTTACCATCCCTCACACAAGCCCATCTTACCATCCCTCACACCAGCAGGACATGGTGAAGGACTAACTCCCACTCCCGAGCTCTCGTGTGTGCATGCCGGCCCAACAGACGTTCTCACTAACCAAAAGGAAAACTGAGGCACAGGGAAGTTTATCCAGAAATCCCTGGGGTTCTGATAGGACAGGTCTAACCCGCACCCCAGGCCATCCTCTTTAGTACTCTCTGCCCTGCCCAGCTAAGGCCTGGCCACCTACCTTCAAGGAGTGGCACGGTCTCTAATGACAACAGGAGGTGTTTCCAGCCTGGCGTTACCCTTAAGTGTGATGTCGTGGGTTTGCGTGCTGGCTTCATTTCTCACAAACGTCCTCTAGAGGAGAAAACTGAATCCTACAGCAGTAGCTATGGGATTCCTCAAGGCAGTTTTCTGGAAGCCATGCTTTTATCCATGAAATGGGTTGTTATCAGATGCTGTGGCCACTTTCAGAACATGTGTCCCTTGTCCTCCACAAAGCAGATGATTGAGTTCAGGAGTTTCCATATAGTATGACCTCATCAGCTGCCTGGCTGCCTTCACAAGTTACACCCACTGTGGCTTCTGCTTTTGTACCCTTGGTCCAGATGTGTGGATCCCACAAGCCCTGTCTCAGCCCAGCCGTAACACTTGGCCAGGTGCTCAGGCACAGACTAGTCTGTCATTGTGGTCAAGGTGGAGGCGCAGGGGTTGACAGCACCACAGAATCTGACCTGCTCTCTGGCCCACCCCTCGTCCTCCCCTTGATTGGCAGCCTGGCCCTGACCTTCCGCTCCCTGTGATCTTCCAAGCCTTGGTCTTCTGCTCTGAGCTTTTATTCCCACCTAGATGTCGCCCGATGGCCCACTCCTGACCTCATCCTGCAGGAAAAACCTGTTGTCCCTTGCAACACCCCCTCCCCACACCTGAGAGGATTTTGGCTCCTCTGTTCCCAGGGGCTTCCCCCCCTCCTCCCCTCCCTCCTGCCTGCCTTCCCACCCCGCGTCTTCCTAGAGTCTCTTTCCCAGGTTTTGCTCCTATACCCTTTTGAAGTTGTCCAGTTTGAAGAAAAAACAAGCTCAAACTGGATTTTCTTACTTCCAAGCTGTATGCAGTGACACTCCTGCCATGTCCTTTCCACCACCAAAATACATAGCTGCAGCTGCACACCTAAAACGCAGTCCCATCCCGCTGCCTGCGGGGATTGGTTCCAGGACCTCACGAAGGTACCAGTCTTCAGATGCTGCTGTCCCTTGCATGTCTCCTACACACGTCTTCCTATATTCTTCAATCCTTTCTAGATTACTTGTAATATATAACAACATGTAAATGCCATGTAAATACCTTGTTAGGGTTCTCTAGAGGAACACAGTGAACAGGAAATATAAAAGGGGGACTTACAAGATTGGCTTACACAACCAGAAGCTGGATAGTCCGCAGCGGCTGTCTGCAGGCTGGAGATCTGGAGGAACTAGGAGCTGTGCAGTCCCAGAGGCTGAAGCCCCAGAACAGGTGGGATCAAGGTGCTACCCTAGGCTGAGACCAAAGGCTTCTGGAGAATCACTGCAGAGTCCTCTTTGGAAGAGTGAAGAAGCGAGAGTCTGATATCCTCAGACAATCACAGCAGCAATCAAGAACCAGTTTAAGAAGAAAGGAGCTTGCACCTGTTGCTGCTTCCTTGTTCTTCCAACTTTATTCCATCCAAGCCATCATCCTATAGGATGGTGCTGCCCACACTTAGGGAGGGTCTCCATTTCAGTAGGCTACCCCACATGCCAGTCATTCCTAGACACCCTCATTGACACACCCATAAGCCCATTAATCCTTGGCATTTCTTAATCTAATGAAGTTGACAATTCAAATTAGCCATCACATACCTGTTGTACTGTTCAGGGAACTACAGGAAAAAAATATGCGTCTAGTACAGTGGCAATTTCTTTTTTCCTGAATGTTTTCCATCTGGGATAGGTTGGTTCTACCAGTGCATGCCCTGTGGACCTGGCAAGATGACTATGACTCACATCTTGGATTTCCATTCTCTCCAGAATATTTGAGCACTGCCTGAGGGACCAGCCTGTTAGCAGTACAGAGTCCAAGAGCCCAAAAAATTTAGAAAAACTTCTATTGGGGGCTCTAAGTGCCTCAGGGCACCTCAGAGGGCCATCTCTAGGGAGGAAGGCAGGCAGAAGGGTCCCCTGCTGACCCCAAGGGCTCTGGGCTGCAGAGCCCAGAACTCCAGGCAAGTTCATGCAAGGGATGCCTTGGCTGTCTGTGAATAAAGAACAGTGTTGGCACCCCACTTGGAAAACAGGTCTAACAAATCTGTATGAGAGGGGCAATTCAGCCACCAAGAACTCTCCTGGCCTCTATGCAGAAGGGAGCCCTCTGTACCCTGCAGGAGAAGTGGGTACTTCTTTACTTTCGGTTTATGCTAAACTCTCTCCTTACCACCACCACAGAATTCTTAATCTTTTCCTGATTTCTCAAAACCAGTTGCTACCTCTGTCTTCTAGCCCAGTGACCTCTTAGCACAAGATGAGTCACATCCACACGAGATTCTGCCATGTGGTTTGAAAATATTCCTTCACCCTCAGGAAGTGGGCTGGGTTTAATCAGTAGAAACAACCGTGGCCCTGAAACCCACCCCAGCTCAATGAAAATAAGCCCCAGACCATATATTTGGATAAAAGTAACATTTGTCTTAGGCGAGTGAGTGAGCTGATGGCAAGAACTCTCAATTCTGAGCAAAGCTGGGCTGTTCCTGCAAACATCTCATCTGACATAAAAATCAAGACACTCATGGAAAATGTGTCTCTATGTGTGTTTATTAGAAAAATATGGGTAGACCAAACTGAAATTGAACACATCCTTTACCAATGCCACATAATGTTCAATAGGGACAACTATCAGAATCCTCCAGTGGTCACACCAGGAGCCAAGCCAAGCAGAGGCCCACTGTTGGAAACCCCAGTGCCCAAGCTGTCCCCAGCACTGCTAGAATTCCTGCTTCCAGAATTGTCCTCCGTGGGCACGTGAAGGAGCCAGCCCCTTTTCTGTCTGGAGCCTTACGAAGTTGGCTGTGGTGGAGCCAGGAAGGCTGCCAGGCTCTCCCCACTTCCTGGAAGTGACAGTTCTCAGAGGAAAAGCAGCTCTTTCCTATCTCAAGCCTCTGGAGAACGGGGGTCAGCCTGGTCCAGCTGTAATACTGCTTGTCCGAAGCCGGTCCTCCCAGGTTTCCAGTGATGTGACTTCAACGGACTGGTGTTAAAACCTTGAGAACTGAGCTTTCAGGGCTAGAATCCTTGAGGAATTATGCAACAGCCAGCCAAGAAGATAATGCATGCCTTTTTTAATTTCTTAAAAAATCTTCCCTTGCTGTATTGAAATGTGGTTGAAAGGATCTCGGGAGACTCTTTTGGCAAGGTCTTTGTGTAGCTTGATTCATTTGGGGCAGGACCCATGCAGGTGGCTTCTCCTTACCAAGGTGCCACCTCCTCTCCTGTTGGGCTGGGGTACCGTGGCATGACCCAGTCCTCCATGAGGCCCTTTGAGTCAGCTAAGCTGCTGACCATGATGCCCACTGTGGTCTCTGGCATGGGTAGGCTGATGGGGCAGAGTTGGCGAATGAACAAGGTCCTTGCTAGACCTGTCCTGAGCCCCAGTGCAAGGCTGTAACCATCTCCCCCCCCCCCCCCCCCCCCAGGCCCTGAAGCGCCAGAGCTTGCTGGGCCTGTCTTTCTTCAACAGCATCATAGCCCACGGGGACCTGCGCAACAACAAGCTCAATCAGCTGTCGGTCAACCTGTGGCACCTGGCACAAAGGCACGGCTGTGCAGACACCAGGACCATGGTGAGGCACTTATGGGCCCAGCATCAGCATGGTGTCAGGGCTGGACCTAGACTGCCCCTGTCTCCCCTTTCAGAAGGGCACCGGGATCTCAGGTTTTAGCACCAAAAAAAAAAAAAAGACCAGGCCTGAGAATTCCTAGTGTTAAAAAGCATGAATTTATAGGTGGTAACTTTCAATTAAAAACCAACTCAAGTTTTTAATATGGGTGGTTTGTTTACTCCTTATAAAAACCTCATCCATTAAAATCTTCCATCATTCCTGGTCACACACAAATCCTGAATTTTAAGGGCAATTCATGATGTAAGCAGTTTTACTTTAAAGACTCCTATTTCCCCCCACTCCTGTTCTCTAAGTATAAGCGCGCACTGGCAGGCCACTAGAGAACTGGGCTGCCAGGAGAGTTAGGAACCAAAAATGAGACAATCTTTTTCTTCTTAGGTGAAGACTCTAGAATACATCAAGAAGCGAAGCAAACAGCCAGACATGAACCATCTGACCGAGCTGGCCCTGAGGCTCCCACTGCAGACCAGGACCTAACCCAGTGCACCCGTGGCAGCTCCCTCGGCAGAGAGCAGCTGTATTGCCCGAAACTCCTGCCGGGATCTGAGTCTCCTTTTTACTTTCTTTTCATTTACACACAGGTTGGCTTAAGCTTTGGCCTCTCCCCAGGTTATTCTGACAGTGAAGATGAGGGAATCATCAGAGCATTAAAATCAAATCTCGTCCTCCTGGCATCGTGTTTCTTTGCACAAGTGAAGTGGCCTTTCGGTTTCACAGTAAGCACCAGGGAGGCCCAAATGGCCTTTAGGGAGTAACAAAGGGATGCGAGGACTCTTTCCTGGAATATGCTTCTGGTGTTTCATAAAATAACTTGGAAAAAGCAGTCCTCCAGGGGAGGGGGGGTATTGAGGATTGAGCCCAGGGGCACTTGACCACTACATTCCCAGCCCTTTTCATTGAGACAGGGTTTTGCTACATTGCTTAGGGCCTCAGCTGCCGAGGTTACAGGTGTGCATCACTGTACTGCACCACACTGTACCCTCGAGTTAGAGAAGCACTAAAATCTGAATTGAATGTTGCCTAAAACACCTCGGAAGACTTAGGAAAAGCAGATATCACCATTTAATTCCTTTTCCTAAAGAAAACAGCTCAACTAGATTGTTGAAAAGATCAAAGGAGAAAGGTTAAGTATGAGATTTGCTTTGGCTTCACTGGAACATTACTCTTCAGATGCAGAATGCTACCGAGTGGAAAGAAGGCAGCCACCTGTCTCCCAGGTCCTGGTACCTGGGCTCTTTAGAACCCAAGCTGGAAGCCATGCCACAGCTGATGACGACACTTCCATGTCATGCTCTTAGGCCTGGGTCTCCACCACAGCAGTCACCAAGGATCTCTCTTTACGACCAAGAGAAATCATGAGACACATCCCTGGAAATGTGCCACTGGTTGATTGGCATGACTAATGCTCTCTAAAATGCCGTGTTCAAAATCCAGTGGATGGGCGCACAAGGACGTCAAATCCGACTCTGCACTTAGATGAAAAGACAGCAGCTGGGACAGAGGTGATCTCCCAGTAGCATAGCCACATCTGCTTGGTGGCACCTCAGACACCTCTTTGCTTGTAGCTACTCTGTAGGGGGAAGGAAGATGAGCTTGCTCTTGTTCATCAGGAATTCCATCCCTGTGTGAGATTTAGATATGTTACAAAACTTCTGTTTCCTCCAATCTCTAAGTCCCTGGATGGGACATTCAGAGCACTAAGTGTGACTAAGGGCTTGGGGTACAAAAGTTCATGGCGACCCCCAGCGGCCTTATTACTTTATCCCTGAACCTCAGCTGCCTCACATCTGTAGGAGGGATGATAGCACCTACTTCACAATCATGATTAAATACATCGGTGCAGGGATGCCACGTGCCCAGCCTGTGCTTGAACCCTGACTGAGCCACTATTATTAACACAGGTGTTGCCCAACAGGATGGAAGCTTTGACAGATAGGTGGTTTCAGCCACTCACTCATTCTCTTGGCTGCCAACACATGAACTGTCCCCACCTGTCCGTCCAAGCCCATCGAGGACTGTCAGGTGGCTTGCATCTGCAAAAGTAAATAAGAAAAGCAATTTGGGCTGTTTGGGGAGCCAAGATGCTAGAGTTTAATCTTCCAACTTGATAGATTTGGAAGCGTTCCTGTCGATGTAGAAGACTCTGCTTGGGGTGGTGGGGAAGCCGAGGCCAGCCCCCCGGTTGTACTTCCAGCTCATAGCCCTGTCGTAGTCTTGCTGCAGGTTCTGCTGCAGGGTGTCCGCGGCCTTCTTGCTCATGGCCATGTTGGGCTTTCCAATCATGCTGGGCGGGCGACTGAAGGAAGGGGACAGATTCTTAAAGCCACCCATAAGTTTGAGAAATTTCAGTTTCTGCTCCTCATTTTCAAAACCAGCAGTATCCCACTGGCCAAACTGGGTTCCCTGCATTAAAAGGAAAAAGGCCATCATTTTCCTTGTATGCGAAGGAGTCCCCCAACTCCACCCCAACTAGGACAGTTCTGCTGGTTCAAATGCCAGCTCGAGGGCCACTCAGCAGTTTCGTGCTGTTATTCCCAACAAGGATTCCATGAGGAATGCTGGGATGCTGATAAGGAGACGGAGGTCTGCCCCAGACCTGAGGCCACAAGCCACACTGTAACCTGGTGGAGTCCAACTTTGGCCCAGCCAGCAAGAGCCCTCTGTACACCTAGCTCTCTCACCCCACATGTGGGGAACGGCACAGCACAGCACAGCTCCCCTCCGCACAGGACACCTTATTTCACCTTGGGTTTTTTGGGGGGAGGTTGGGGGCACAAGGAATGGAGCCCAGGATGCATTATCACTGAGCTGTACCCCCAGCCCTCTTTATTGCATTTCTATTCTAGGACAGGGTCTCACTAAGTTGTCCAAGTTGGCCTCAAACCTGCCATCCTCCTGCCTCCACATCCCAAGTCACTGGAATTATAGGCCTGCGCCATATGCCCAGGGCATCTCCACCTTACCCAGCCCTACTCCACACCCCGTCAGGCCTCGGCAGCTCATCCATCAGCCTACTGTTTTCAGTGGGAGGGGAGGGGAGCAACTGGGAACTGAAGAGTTTTTCTTCTCCAGCACTGCACTTTACAGCAGCAAGGAGTGAGGCCCACAAAGAGTCACAAGGCCAAGTTAGAGGCCGAGCCAGCCCAGCAACTCGGGTCCCAATTCCAGCCAGAGCATTCTACCATCTGTGCACAAATCCCCCACGTGCACCAAAGTGCGAGACAGCCCCTCAAGACACCTCATGGGAGACACAAGAAACCCAACTCCCCAACTTTCAAATCATGTGGCCCCAGGCTAAAACCCCACCTGGTCCAGTCACCCACCCTAAGCCTCAATGTCCTTATTTACCATCCTCAAGGGGCTTTGGTGAAACTTAAGATTTTATACCAGAAATGCAGTGCACAGCTCTTGGCCCACCGTCAGTCTCCCCCACCAAAACACTGACCTGGAACTGTCCACCTGCCAGCCCAGTGCTCATTTCCACCTCGGCTCTGGGAGAACAATCAGAACCAGCTGTCGTTACAGTGGCTCTCAGTGAACTGGTGACCCGTCCTCCCTGCTACGCGGTGGCCAGGTGCAGGAATGAGTGCTGCCTCCCTGGCCTGCGATTTCTAGAGCGGGGCTGCTGGTGATGGCTCCTACCAGGGTCTGAGGAGAGCTCATCAGCAGGCAGATGGCCTGCCTTGAGAGGCCCACGGCCAGCAGACCCCAGCCCAGGATGACACCCCGTTTCTTGTCCCCATAGTCAGGGTGTCCTGCTCAGCTCAACAGGATGGAGGATCCAAGCACAGCAAAAGAAAGAGCGGAAAGCCCTATTCCACGACCGTCAGGCTAGGCTAAGTCCCAGGGAAGCTTCCTGCCCAGAGACTCAACAAAGTGGCGGAGTCAGTAACCCACCGCAGGTTTTCAGATTCACAGCAGTCGCTCCTGCCGTAGCAGCCTGAAGGCTAAAGACAGCAAGAGAGCAGCCTGCCCCAGCACCTGGGTCCCTCTCCCCCAGTCCAGCCTGTTACAGAGTCCCCCTATCCCTCCTCCTCTGCACCCTCCTCAGGTGAGCAGGCTGAGCCCTCTGACGGGCCCCTCCCCGGGGAATGCCCCCCAGAGCTCCCCCTGTAGCAGCTCACTGTAAGCACCCCACTATTGCCTCAGCCGCTGAAGCTGGCCTGGTGGGCAGGCACACTGTGTCCCAACCACCATGCCACCTGGCTGGCCTTCACTACACCGTGGCCCACCTTTGGGCTCTGCACTCACCGTTGTCTTCTCATTCTTTCCTGTTTCCCCACCACCCCTGCACCCCCACCAGCCGGTGAGCACGATGAAGGGTCACGTGTGCCCTGGGCCGCCTCTGCCAACACCTGGATGCAATGATTCAGATGAGTGACAGGGTATGGAGAGGAGGGACCCAGCAAGGCGGAGCTCACCCACCCCAGCAGCCTGGCTTCATGGTCCCTGCAGTGTCCTTCCGTCTGCCCTAGCTTCTTAGGCCAGCTCTGGCAATTTCCCATCCAACATGGATCTCAATCTGAGAGGCCTGCCACCTCCCAGCCCCGCCCCCGCCTCCTGCGCAGCTCCCAGCAGCCCTCCCAGGACACCACCCACTGCTGCCAAGTTTGCACCAAGTTCTCCACCATCCAGGTCACCCGGCTCACTCGCTCAGAGCAGGACACGGCTTTACTTCACACGGCCAGCTCCCCAGCTCCCAGGGGGAAGGCAAGCATCCTTTTGAAAGGAAGGAAAATGGCTAGGACAGCTCGGTGGAGAGCGCCTGGTGGCAACCTGGGGCTGCCTGGGGCCTGGATGAACAGTTCCCCCCTCCACGCCCCAGGCTGAGCAGCAAGGGCTGGAGTGTGAACACCAAGCACACCTCACACACCCTGGCATCAAACTTACCATCCAGTTCCCGCCGGCTTCAGAAGCTTCCGTCTTGCCAGACTCACGATCGATCTCTTCCTGTAAGGCCTTTCGCCTCACCTGAGCAAGGAGGGAAACCAAGTTTTGTTTTGACCTAAAAACTCAGACAGATGGAGCCAGGCAGTGGAGGGTGTGGCAGGCAGCAAGCTCCACTCTCTGGAGATCAGGGGACGGTTCTGCATCCCCTCTAGACCTGGGGCTGTAGTCCTGATGCACAGGCCTTCCCTACCCCCCTGGACAGGGTCTCCTGAGAATGACTTTCCCTACAGACACTCATCCACCTTCCCAGCCATTCTGGGAGGGAACTTTCCTAACAGCAATGCCAAGGCCCTGTTGTCCTGTGATGATGGCACCATTTTCTAGACAGATGGAGGCTGTGTGCAGAATAAGGCAGAGGCTAGTTTGAATCCCTGTACTGCCATCAACCAGCCGTGTGGCTTGGGTAGGTCACCTAACTTTTCTGAACACTGGCCAATTTATCTACCAAGAAGGCAACATCAGCTCCTTTAGAGGGTAAGTGGGAGAAACACCCAGGTGGAGGAGAGTTGGACACACAGTAGGTACCTCTCATACCGTATGGTAGGATGACTCAAGGCCTCCCCTGGACCAACGACAACCCTGCTGTTCAGTATAGAAGCTTCCAGGGCCTTTAAGGTTCAGGTTTGACATCAGGTCCCCCAATTTTTGGCTCCTCCTCCCTTCTGATCTATAAAGGCTGTGAAATGAGGTGACCTTTTCTATCATATAAAACTAAAACAAGAGACAAAGTCCCAGCTGTAAGGATGAGAGAAGATGAAGGTGCAGCCTCTGGGGAAACCGTGCTGCAGCTGTGGGTGATGGTGAAAGCTGCGCCATCTACCAAACCTGAAAGCCGGTCCAGTCAGAGGATACACTAAAGGAGTGGCGTGTGTACGGGGCACGGGGCACGAGTCCACGTAACTATAAAATCACACGTATAAATGACAAGGGAAAAACCTGGCAGGGTACATGAGAGGGTAACTGACAGTAGGTGGAAAGATTTCAGGTCATTCCCTCAAACATGCTATCTTCCCAGTTTTAACTGTAAAGAACTAGTATGGGAAAACAGGGAAGGTGCAGGTACACTGAGGTCGAGCCAAGTGACTAGAAACTCCCTTAAGAATGGTGTTCAGCAGGCACAGATGAACACAAAGCAAAAGGCCTGTGAATGAAGTGACTGCGTCGCTGCTCTGAGGTCCAGGATCTTGCCATGCTCCCGAGGTTGGGCTGGGGCTCATCAGTCAAGGGCCACTGCTGCCCTCTGCGTGGTCCCCAGCCCCACTCCAGCAGCGCTGGCTCTGGCCTTGGCCCCGGTGAGCCCAGAGAGCGCACCTGCAGGGTCTGGGGAGCTGCTCTGCAGGAGCCGGTGCTCTGGGCCACACCCTACCTGGAGGCCCTGACAAGTCACCTCATTGCTCCTTGCTCCTCTCTGCCTCACCACAAGGTCACTGCTCCAGGGAGTGCCCGGCACCAACCAGCTCTGATGCTCTCCCGTCTCTCCTGAGAGGCCTCCCCAGACTCAATGCACTTCTAAATGCTCCCTCAGTTTCTCCTCTCCTAGGTCAAGGGGCCACAGAAGAGGACTGCTCCATCCCACCCTCACCGCTGCCTCCCTGGAGCACTGCGGCAGCGCACAGCAACTGCATGAGGTGGGGAGGGGCACACACAGAGGAGGCCACGTAGCCTTTGGAGACCCTGGTGCCTCTGAGAAGAGGGTCTTGTGACCTGTGCTCCTAGGGGGTGGCAGAAGGCAGCGAGAGGGCTCCAGGGAGAACGGAGCCGTACCTGGTCTATGTGCGCCTCGTCCATGTTGCCCTTCTTTTCCAGCACCACCTCCAAGTCTGTGTCGGGTTCCTGCGCGAGAGGGCAGAGGTGGGCAGGTTCAAGTGCATGGTGAATGGTCTCTGCCCAGCAGCCAGCTGGGTGAGGTCACAGCAGAGTTCAAGAGAGATCCCAGACCACGGCGCCACCGGGGCCCCTGCCTCCCTGACGGCACTTCACAGTCAACAAAGCCCTGCCCCTCGTCTCTCTGCCAAAATTCTCCTCCCAAAATGGTGGGCATTAAGCTACGTGACAGTGAAACTGAGGCTCAGAAAGGTCAAGTGACCCCCACCAAGTCACCCAAGGCTCAGGGACAGGCTGATTCCAACCAGGTCTCCTGAGAGCCAGCTGAGTGTGCAGCCTCCTCACCAGTCCTCCCTCAAGGACACCAAACCAGCAGGAGCAGGGCAGGAGCAGGGCAGGTGCAGGCCCGGCTGACAGCAGGGAGGGCTGCAGGAGCCTGGGAATGCGGACTGGCTGTGGGGCCCCGCCAGCAAACTGGCTGCTTCTACCACCCAGCTCTGTCCTCCAGAATGCCACCTGAGCTGGGTGGCTGCCACCTTTTCTACCTGTTCCCCGCCCTCACCCCAGCTCCACTGACGCTGCAGCTCAGGTGCACTTTAAAATCTCAATGGAGGGCATGCCCTCTTCCCTCAACCCCCTAGGGGGTCCCATCTGGTTCACACCAGAGTCTAGACTTGTAAGGCCTCTAGGGACCCCTGTACCTGGCCTCTGCCCACCTCCACCATGCCACCGCTCCATTCGCCCCAGGGGGCCACTGCTCCACTCGCCACGCAGGGCCTCTGCAGGGAGGCAGAGGCCCACACAGGCCTGCCCTGACTCCCTCTAGCCAGGCCCCCAGGGGACCCAGGGCTTGCCCACTGCCCTGATCCTTCGTTCACAATTGCCAGCACACGTGTGCTGACCCAGGGATGACCCCACTCAGGTCACCCCGACTGCACCTGGTAGGCACACGCACACCTGCCGACTCAGCAGGCTACTCTGGGAGGCAGCATCCATGGGAGGCGGATGCTAAGCAGAGGGGACACCTTTCTTGGAGCTCCTGGGGAACGGGACTCATGTCTAACAGGGGCTGGCTGCAGGCCTGTAGGGTTTCTCATAGCCCCAAGTTTCTAGATAAAGATGACAGCAAAAGGAGCCTGACGGATGAGGGCACAGCGGGAGAAATCCACCAGCCCAAGCTTCCTCCCGCAGGCCCCCAGCCTGACCGGGCAAGCGGAGTGTGGCCTGCAAATGTGTGCCCCTAAGGGTCAGCTCCAGGGGGTCCCCAGGCCAGGCCACCACTAGGGAAGTGCTCATCACTACTACTTGAGGGCCACAGGGGACAGCTGCTCTGAGGTCACCATGCCAGTCTTATCCCCATGGAAGACAGTCATTTCTTGGCTTTCAATGACAATGGCTTCTAAGACATGATACCCTGGTGGCTTCTGGGAAGAGACCCACATCAGAAGCCAGCCAATCTGAGTCTGAACCCCAGTTCTACTTCTCACCAACTGAATGATTTCAGACAAGGCCTTCAACTCCCTTGGGCCTGTTTCTGTGTCTATTAAACGGGGATGACCCGCACAGCTGACCCACCAGACAGGTGAGAAGGTGACAGGGTTAACACGCCAAGGCACTAGCACTAGGACACTTCCTTTGCAGGTGGCAGAACTACTAGAGTGAAAGCCTGGAGTTAATGGAATCATCTTGCAGGAGGCAGGGGTTGGGGAAGAGGAAATGCCAAAGCATAAGTACCCTTCCATGTGCAAAAGTGCACACAGGTACACACACACACTCTCTCCTAGCTGCACATTACCTTCCCAATGCAGAGTCCACTTCTGAAGGAAACCTACCTCCTTCCAGGGGACTTCTGTTACCCCACTCTCTTTCCTCTTCTTCTTCTTCCTTTTCAGAGTCAGCTCCTCTACAACTGGCTGCTCTGCCTTCTTCTTGGACTTCACCTTCTTCTTCACTGGGGACGTAGGGCCATCTCCTATTGGAATGTATTCTTGGACATCAACTGTGACCGGCTTCTTCTTCCTCCCTTTCCTAGGGCTGCTCTCTGTGGCCCTGGGGAGTCTGGAGTGGCCTAGCAGGGCATCTCCTTCCTGATGGATTTTCTTTTTCTTCTTCAGCTTTGCGCTGCTTTCTCTGGGGCTCCCCTGCTTCCGTTTCTGCCCTGAGGCTGCCTGCTCCTCGACCTCATTCTCCAGGGAGCCCGCGGATGGGGCATCTCCAGCCTCGTAGAGCCACGGGTCCTGGCTGGAGAAGGCTGCAATGTCCTCGGCCTTTTTTCCCTTCTTGTGTTTTCTGAGCTTCTTCCCAACTCTGGTCACCTCCTCACCGTTTCTGGTGTCTTGGGAGGTCTTTGTCACTGAGCCATGGGACATGATGAGTGATGAAGACTTCCTCTTCTTTTTCTTCTCCTTGCTGAAGGACTCCGAGCGGCCAAGGGCTTGCTTCTTGCGGCTGGGTGAGGCCTCTGTCCGTCTGGCACTCAGCCTCGTCTCCGAATCCAGCTGCTCCTCGAAAAGGGTGCCGCGGCCCTTCTTTTTCTTTTTTTTCTTCACTAGAGGCACCTCATGCGCTTGCGCCTGGCCCACGTTCTTAGAGGGGGATGCAGCCCTAATAGGAGAAGCATCAACAAAATAATCGTCACAGCTTAAAACTGAGTAGTGAGTGCCTGGCTCTTTGACCACCTTCTTCTTTTTCTTCTTTTTCTTTTTCTCTGGGACCCCAAGACCCAGGTCAACTTTATGGGTCTTGGTGATCATTCCTTTAAAAAAAAAAAAAAAAAGTACAAGTTATATCACCACATCCAGCGGCTGGTGTTCAATACTAAGTTCTGCACAAACCGTGTGTCTGAGTGGGTGGTCTGAAATGACTGCGAACAATGAAATGGCCAGGATTCATTTGGAGCAAAGAGAGATCTATTAGAAGTAGCAGAAGTTTTCATTTAGATAGGCCTAGGTTCAAATCTAAATTGCTGCCACTTTGAACCACCCCCTAACTTCTCTGAGCCTGTTTCCTCATCTGGAAAATGGGATGGGGCATGCAACCTCCTTCCTCAAATAGATATTAGAGAAAACAAATGAGATAATCCATGCAAAGTGCTTAGAACATTGTCAGTCCCTTTTTCTAACACGTTTCCTTTAACCTCTAGTCATTCATTCAACAAATACTTACAGAAAACCTATCTTGGGCCAGCCCCGGAGGGTACAAGTGTTATCAAGTCAGAAAGCTGCCCACAGAGACATACCTTTTGCTGAATGGAGACAGAAATCCTGAAAAGTGGTCAGCCCCTCCTGCTGAATCCCACCAGAGGCAATAAATACAGCTCCTACTTTGGGTTAACAGCCCAAATTCATTTCTGAACTTAAAAGCGAACATTCCCCCTTCCATTCTTAACTATACCCTTCTAATTGCCTTCTACATGGCACAGTGAGAGGAGGAGCCCAATTAGAACTCTAATAAACCAGAAGCTGTTCAAGGTAGGAACCACATCCTGCTTTAAGTCTGTTTCACTATTTTGGGTTTTTTTTTTTTTTTTTTTTGGAGGGGGGAGGGGGTACCAGGGACTGAACTCAGAGAGTTCACTGAGTGACCACTGAGCCACATCCCCAGCCCTATTTTCTGTATTTTATTTAGAGACAGGGTTGCTTAGCGCTTTGCCATTGCAAGGCTGGCTTTTAACTTGTGATCCTCCTGCCTCAGCCTCCCAAGCAACTGGGATTACATGCGTGTGCCACCATCGGGGACTGTTTCACTTTTTTTTAATTTCAAAATGATCGCCAATATTTAATGATTGGCAATGACACAGCTACCAAGAATGTCTACCTTTTCTTAGACAAATGAAAGTCCCTGTGAGAAGGGGGTAAGACTCTTAAAACACTTTAATTTCCACCTGGGCTACTTCTCTGGCTCCAGGCACCAGACTAGTTCCTGCACTGGAGCTAGGGGAAAAAAGAGACATTCAGAGAATCTAGAAACAAAATATCTCCTTGTAGGTTTGGCTGGTCAGAGAGAAAACCCAGGAGCTTCTCCAACCCACAGCACTCCTTGGCTTCAGAGCTGGAGGGTTCAAACTGGACTCAACCCACACTTAGCAGCCTCAAAAAGCCAGACCAGGCCTGAGCTATATCTCAGGTACATTCATTACACCATCCAGTAGCACCTGGAGAGGCAGGTACTCATTTATTGTTCTTGGCCCCATTTCCTGGTGTATTCCCAGAGCCTACCTCAGTGCCTGGCAGACAGCAGGTGCTCAATAAATACTCAACAAATGAATGCTAGAAATACAGATAAAAGACAAAACATCAGCCATCAAAAGCAGTGGGTTTGGAAGAGGCATAACAATAATACACAAGATAAAAGAAAGGACAGTGGTGAGGACTGCAAGATGGATTTACTACCAGTTGTCAAGAAAGATTCTGGGGAACAGCGGCAACTTGGGCAACTTAAGGAAATGATGTCAGCCTCTGAGACAAAGGAAGCAATGGCAGGATGGCTGGCAGCTGGAGGAAACAGGCTAGCTTGGACAGATGCCTTGAGATATCCAAGTGGAGATGTTCGCTGGACCACGGACACAGGGTCTGAGGCTCAGGGTGACTGCTCTGGTCACGGGTAACATAAACAGGACCATATGGTTGGCAATCAAGACTGGAACACAATGTGCCTAAGAGCTGAAGATAAACAGGTGGGCGGAGGAGGTGCAAACCTGAAGTGGGTGGAGTCAAGCCCACAATGGCTCCCTGATGGAGGAGTGGTCAAGAGAGCTAATAAGAATAAATAAGCCACCAGGAGTTAGATCAGCTTCTCTCCTATCTCTGCCATCCAGAGCTCTGCAGGTTCCTCCTCCTCGGCCTTCCGACCCCAGACGTATGCACTCTTGCAATCAGAAAGGAAGAAGAAACGAACCTTACGGTGCATCTTCTGCAAACGCTTTCTACAAAAGCGCTTTTAAGCGTCCGCCAGAGTCTCCTAAGGACTGATGTGACTCTCCCACCTCACAGGCGTTGGCGACCTAGTTCACCCGTCCAACGTTTTAAATTCAGCAAGTGGCAAAATAGGGATTCGAACCCAGACCGCAGGACCCCAGAGCCCGAGCACCAACCAACACCCCACTCCCACCGTAGACTCACTAGCACGACGCAGGCGAGCCAAAGGGGGGGCGCTCCCTCCAAAGCCCGCGGGGTCAAAGCTTCGGCTTAGGCACGCAGCGAAGGCCTCCGCGGGGTCCGCGGCTCGGCTTCATGGCGGGAGAACTTCCTGAACGCGGCGGCGCACACGGGAAGTTGGGGGCGGGACTTGGGGTGCAGGATCCTGCTCCCCGACCTCTTCTCGGTCGCGGGAACCCTCAGGCCCAAACTCCACACCCCGCGCCGCCCGCCTGCACCGCACACCCCGCGCCGCCCGCCTGCACCGCACGCCCCGCACTTACCTGCAGGCCAAACCTCCCCGCCTCCACGTGAGGACCAGCGCCGCCGTGACCCGGAAGTCAATTTCGAGTCGCTGGTCCATCCCCGCGAGTTCCGGCCCCTTCCGGTTCGCGGCCGCTCGGTGAACGCGGTTGTCTTGGAAACCGCAGCCATGGCGGCGTCGCGGCAGACCTCAAGCCGCAGCGTTCCGCGCATGGAGCCTAGCGGCTCGGCCGAATCGTCTGTCGCCACCCGGACACCAGTGCCCACCTTGTCGTCCCCGTCCCCGGAGCTGCCTGTCTCGCCGGGGCAGGTGGCCCAGCTATCGGGCAAAAACCTGTGGGAGCAGATCTGCGAGGGTAGGCAGCCCGGACTGGCCGCGGCGGGCGGGACGCGGGCGGCCGGGCGGGGGCCGCCTGTGCCCGGCGCCCACTGTGCGCCAGGCGGCTGACGTGCGAGGCCGCGGCCCGCCGGCCCCGAATTCCACGCTCGGGGAAGCCCTGGCGAGGCCGCGCCGCCTCGGGCCTGGAGCCGCGGTCGAAGCCGAGGGGAGGAAAACGGAGCGAGGGAGCCCGCAGCGCGGGCCAGGGGATCTTAAGTCCCGTTTAAAGCCCAGAAAAGAACCGCCCGGGCGGCCGCGGGGACCCTGTTGAGAAGGTGGGCGGACCCCGCCCCCGGGCCTCAGGTGGTATCCGGACTCCGGGCGTCTGCGGAGCGGCCCCGGAGACTCCCAGCGGGAAGGTGGTCGGGCGGGTTCGGGCGCGACTGGCTCCAGACCTTCCCGTCTTTGTGGCCCTGCGTCACTCTTCACTAGCTGTGGACGAGTCATTTAACTTTGCTTTTTTTTTTTTGTAACCTTTCTATAAAGAGGGCGTGATGATAGCAATGTGAGAAGAATGGGACCCGCTGGGCGTGCCCAGCAAACGGCCTGGTTTACAGCAGGAGCTGCACAAGCGATGGTTTCCTCATGGGCAACGTTGGGGCTTCGGGTTGGGGTTTTTGGTTTTGTTTCTTTTTTCTTCACGAGGCTGTGCAGTTCTTCAAGGGCAAGAACTCAGGGTTTTCATCCTGTGACCACCATCTCCTCATTAACAGACCAAACAGCAAAGTCTGATAGGACTTCTCTGGTAGCTACTAGGCACGTGTGGTTATTGAGCATTTTGTAACAGTGGTCCCTTTGCCTTCTGAATATAGCCCTCATTGCTCTAAGGTTTATCTTGTTTAAAAAAAAAAAAAAAAGTTTGCTTTCTATTCCCCTCTCTCCCTGTGGATAGCTCCCAAATTTGCAAGTGAATCCTAACAGACCAGCTGGGTGCCCTGGGACCCCTACCAGAGCACACCTGGAATGTAACCCTTGTAAAATTCCTTTAACACCCCCCCCACACCCACCTTCCTCCTGATCGCTAGAGTGGCACCCTTTGGGACCGGAGTCCCCTGTGTTTCTCCTTTGCTAGCAAGCAATAAACCTTCTTTTTCCTTTTTCTCAAAACCGTGTCCTCATTATTAAATTGGCCTTCATCGGCATGGGACAGTGATGGAGCTTTTGGTTACAATTTGAGGTGTGCACAAGAATGGGATCCTAATTAGAATTAATTATACTCCATGTATGTATAATAGGTCAACATATACTCTATTGTCAGGTGTATCTATAAACAACAAATAAAATAAAAAATTTAAGCCTTAAAAAAAAAAAAAAACAATTTGAGGTGTGATTAGCACAGCTGAGGAACAGAATTTCTCATTTTAGTAAATTAAGTAGTCACAGTGTGGTTACTGTATTGGATACTGCAGGTCAGGAAATGTTTACTGAATGGAAACAAACATGAATGTGCCAGTGTATGAAGATAAGGGATGATTTGAAAGCAATGTAGAGTACAGAGGAAGTAGAAAGTAGTGGACTCTTGAGAGTCAACCCTCAAGGCCATCTATGTCAACTCCCATCCAGGTCTTAAAGTCCTTCTCCAGCATTTCATTGTTGTAGGGAAAAATCTTTTTATTCTGAATGTTCTCCTTATAACTTCCACCCTTAGGACCTTTGGTACTGTGACCCAAGGAGTGAATCACTCTACCTACAAAGAATCCACTCAAATATTATGGCTGTCTTTCCAGAACATTCACTTCTGCAAGCCAAACAATTCTTCATAATACAATTTGCTGCTAGAAGGTGGTGTTGGGGACATTGCTCAATTTCATCTATAAGGGGGAGATAATGTTGTGCCTACCTCACAGGGCTGTTGTGAGGACCAAATGAGAAAATGTATGTGGAGGTGCTGAGGACAGAGCCCTGCATTTAGTAAATGTTCATTATTGTCAACAAAGGAACGTTCTTTGTGTTATATTTTAGAGGAGGAGTTTGTGTTGGTCCATCAGGACTCTAGGGAAAAAGCAAGTGAAAAGCAGGTGAATCTACACTTAAGATTAAGAATTACATTCTGTTAGGATGTCTTCGTTCAAAAAGTAAACTGTCACAGCAGACACACCTACAGGTACTCAATTTCATGAAGACAAGATACAGTATAGGTGAACTCTAACTTATGGTCTTTATCCTCCCTGTGCTGTGCTCTGGTGTGTGCATGTGCCCGTGCCTCCCTGCCTCTGTGGTAACTTGTTTGTAAGTGTTCTGGGTTTGCCCTCATCTTTCCAGTGACAACTAAGGATTCTTAAAAGCATTTATATTGGGCTGGATGTAACGCTGGTAGAGTGCTTGCCTAGCATGTGCCAGGCCCTAGGTCCACAAGTCTCTGCAATGTTTACGGTTTTAACCAAGACTTGAGCCCAAGTGTTTGGAGTTTATAGTTTTCTTTTTTTTTTATATGACTTTTTTTTAATTAGTTACACATGACAATACAATGATCTTGACATTTCATACATTTGAATCAAATGGAGTATAATTTCTCATTTCTGATTGTACGGGTTGCAGAATCACATTGGTTAGGGTTTATAGTTTTCTATTTTGATATTGCTATGATTACTGTTATCAGTATTTTTTTAATCTTTTTTTTCTTTTTTAGTTGTAGATGGACACAATATTTTTATTTTATTTTTATGTATTGCTGAGGATCGAACCCAGTGACTTCCACGTACGAGGCGAGCACTCTACCACTGAGTCACAACCCCAGCCCCTTATCAGTATTTATTGTCTTTGGCTCATTGTTTAATCAGTCACTCTCCAGCTCGATAGCCCTCAAAGATGTTATAAAATCTAACCCTTCATCTCACCTGCCAGATGCCAGCGTGGATCAGTGCTGACTCAGTGCTTGTTCCTGCCCAGCAGCTGAGCAAGCCAGAGGAAAATGGCCCCCGCCAGCTCTCAACACTGCTCATCATCAGCTCCCATCAGTGCCTCCTCTCACTGCCCACACCCACTGGTCCGGGGTTGGCGCTCACTCCTCAGGGGTTCAACAGTACCGCTTAGCGGGGAGGCATTCACTAAGGAGGCAATCAGAGGGGGGGCGGACAGCAGCCCAGTTTTTATACACATGCTTGCATCCTTACACCCTGCTGTTCCCCACTCAGCCCACCATCTGGGCTTTGCTATTCCAGGATCCTGCTCCTACAATTCGCTACTTGCTTTTGCCTCCAAACACCCTCTGGTTCATCTCAGGAAAAACCCCAACCTTGACCCCATATCCTCTTTAGCAGCAACCAGTCTAGAAAGAACACAGCTCTCTTGTTCACACCACTTCAGTTTCCACCCTCTTACCAACCCAGAGCAGACAATCTTCTCCCTCATTTCTCCCCAGAAGGTGTTCTCTATGATCAATCAAATTGTTTTAAATAGTTCAATGCTCTTTACAAACCCTTTGTCTTAGGCCTTTCAATGTAACAACACAAGTCTTTGATCACCTGTGTATTCAAGTTGAAATCTCAAGGTGAAACCAATGATTTCTCAAATATTTCAGATTCTTGTAAATATTCCCAAGGCTTAAAGTAACATACATATCGGGTTCTCCTGAGGCTAATATGTTTTCCTATACTTTTAAATAATTATTTCAACTGTATCTCTTCTATGGTCGTGTGAAGTTTTGTGTTTTTTCATCAAATTTTAACTGAGATTTTTGTTGGAAAAATAAGAATGGCAAATAATAATGAAATGCAAATAAAAATATTTTTTCAAATGTGTACGATTGATTATACTTGGAGAAATAGGCAGTCTCACTATTATTATAAACTTTTTGTAGGAAAGTTTGGCAAATTGCCCAATTTTTTTCCCTTTGACATAACAATTTCACAACTGAGTTAATCCCACAAAAATGATTTCATTGAGATCAGTGGTAAAGATGCTCATTGCAGCATTGTAATAATGAAAAATTGTAAACAACCCAGATGCCTACTAAGAGCACACTTGTTAATAAGTGTGGCACAATAGAATTGTGGCAGCATTGAAGGACCCAGTATTCAACACCTAGAAGGGTTCCTGGCATGTGGTAGGCAGTAGGTAGGGATTAATGGATGAATCAAAAGAACTTGCTGCATCCGGGCATGGTGGTGCACACCTGTGATCCCAGCAGCTTGCGGGGCTGAGACCCTAAGTAACATAAAAAGGGCTGGGGATGTAGTTCAGTGGTTAAGCACTCCTGGCTTCAATCCCTGGTACCAAAAACAATTCGCTGTACTGTTTGGTTTATTTATTCATCATTGATTTGTTTATTCAGCAAGAATAATTTGGGGATATAATAACAAATAAACCAGATACTTCCCTTGCCAAACCTACAGTCTATTAAAAAGGACAGCATAAATTTTTATAAAATTCAAATAAGGGGAAAAACTGATAAAGAAAAATGTGGATAAGAGTTATGAGATTCTGTACTTTAGCAGTTTGACCTAGTCTGGGAGATTTAAAGCAAACATATTTGTGTATCTTATATTAGTAATACATTGAAAAGATTCAGTTGGCTGTATGCCAAGCCTAAGTACTCAGGGACAGGATTAGATGTGACTGCCTCTAAAAAATATTTCTGTTATTCGAAATTTTCTTTCAACGATTATGTACTGATGTTGTATTAAAACAGTGGCGTAAATGTATACATTTTAAACCTAAATAGTTTTCCCTTTATCTCAGTGATTCTCAGGATGGGGCGATGGGGGAAGAAGGGTGAATTTACATGCTTGCCCAAGCAGGGGGAAAAAGTGATAGAGCTGTGGCTGATACAGTAGGCAAAATTCTAACATGGCCCCCAAGATTCATAACTCCTAGTGCACATACCTTTCAGATGTTAAGCCAAACACCTGTGTTGTTGTGAAAAGATGCTTTAGATGTATTTAAAGTCCTTAATCATCCACTTCACATGATGGTGGGCGTGGCCTAATCCCGGAGCCCTTGAAGTCAGATCAAGTAGAAGAGACTCCTGCTGGCACTGAAGTACCAACAGCCCTACTCTTGCCCGAGGCAAGCACCTGAGGGCAGACTCTAGGAGCTGAGCAGTTCTTAGCTGACAACCAAGGAGACAACAGGGACTCCAGCCCTTCAACCACAAGAAAATGAACAGCTAGTGAGCTTGGAAAAGGACCCCAACTCTCAGATACTAAGTCAGAGCTGTGATTGATGCCTTGATTCCAGCATGAGACACCTCTCTCTCCCTGGATTTTTTTTTTTTTTTTTTTTTTTTTTTGGTACCAGGGATTGAACTCGGAGGCACTCGACCACCGAGCCACATCCCCAGCCCTATTTTGTATTTTATCTAGAAACAGAGACTCACTGAGTTGCTTAGCGCCTTGCTTTGGCTAAGGCTGGCTTTGAACTTGCAATCCTCCTGCCTCAGCCTCCCAAGCTGCTGGGATTGCAGGCATGCGCCACCACACCCGGCCCTTATTCCTGGACTTTTGACTCAGATAATTTGTGTTGCTTTAAATCCCTAAATTTAGCTGGGTGCGGTATTTAATACTACCTGCAATTTGGGGCATCTTAGGAACATCTTGGAACATACTCTGTGGGCACAAGGAGTATATGAGTTTCCTATCACCATAACAGATACCTGAGATAACCTAGAAAGGGTTCATTTTGGCTCACAGTTTTGGAGGTTTCAGTGATTGGGCCTATAGCAGGCAGCACAAGACGGTAGAGCAAAACCACCCACTTGGTGGCTTGAAGAGGAAAAGGAAGGGGCCAGGACCCCACTCTCCAGGGCTTGACCCCAATGACCTGGAGACTTCGCACTAGGTGCCACCTCTTAAAGAGCCTGTCACCTACCAATAGAGCAATCTGGGCCTGTGAGAGGCATTGTAGATCCAAGCTCTCTTGAAGGGAGACTACTGTAATTAGTTGCACAGTGATAGCTGATATTGAGAATCAAATTGCTTGTAATCTATAGTTGGATGTACGTGTCCCCAGCCTGATATTTAAAATAGTGTCTTTTTCAAAAATGAGACATGCTGTAGTACCTGTGAGTAACGAGGCAAGGAACAAAAGGTAAGGAGCAAAATGTAGGCACAACGGAGCTGCATTCCTTCAGTACCATCTTGGCCAAAACATCTTTTGTCATCACTGGCAAAGTCGCCTTTAAAACATGAACCTTCCCAGAAATGTTTTACTCGACTTTTCTTTAGGGTTAGGGTTGGTTAGCCCATGAGCATTTTCTGTCCCTCTCTCAGCAGTAGTTACTGCTGCCCTGTACGACTTGGGTGGAATGTTCTTTGCATTACTCTGTTCCATGTGTGCTATTGGCATCTTCCCTTACCCTCCTCCCCAGTCTCTTCCTTCCTCTGTTCCTCCTCATGTTTGAGCAAAATCTGAACTAGTATTCTCAGGCAAAGAGTCTCAGACTCTTACATAAAGCTTTGGCTTTCATGTGAGAGGTCAACCGTCCATTTTAAATAAGTTGGCTTATCCACACTAAATAGTACCTTGCAATGGCCAGTTGGTTTTTATTTCTGTAAACCGCCAACTGAAATAAAATTTAAGAATATTTCATTCATAGAAAAAGAAATGATATCACAAACTGCAATGAAGCATGGCATTTGAGGATTTTTATTCCCCTTCCCTTTAGAGTACCAAGCTGAGCTGCCTCCCTTTCCAAAAGGATATGAAGTCAAACAAGAGCCTGAAATTACTGTGAGTATGACCCCGGCCTCATGCTAAATAGAAGGCTCTTAAATGAGACTAGTACTGAGGGCTGGGGAAGGTCAGACAGTGTCATGAGTTAGGAGGTGAGAAGGAGATGGTGGACTGAAGCTAGAATCAGAAACTTGAGGCCAGTTACTAATGGTGTGACCTAAGCATCACATAACCTCTTTCAGACTTTGCTTCTGCACTTATTAAATGGGACAGATAATCCTCAACTAACAGGGCATCTGTGGAGCTCAGATCCTGGAGGAGAAAGGCCTTCACTGTGGATCCAACAGCCTGTCTGTGTTGGGGACAAGTTCCTCTGCATTCCAGGGTAGGGCAGATGCAGAGTAAAAGGACAGGGAGCCAGGAGGGAGGCCCTTAGAAACATACCTTGGAATTAAATATGCACAATGAATTTGGAAATTTTAAAAACATTTGCAGAGATGAAGGGACTTGTGCAGGGTCACAGGGATGGAATCAAAACCTGTCTGTAGACTCATAGCTTCAATTATAGCCACCTCTGACAGAGTTTTTGTGTCTAAAAATCACATTTTGTGAGTGTTCCTTTTTCATAGCATCATGTTTTTGCTCTATGGATGCAATTCTTTCTCAAGTGTTTGTGCAGATTCTGCATCATATAACCTCTTGTTCCTGGATTATTTGTCTTTATTCCAGGTTCAATTGTGCTCTTTTAGATCTTAACCTTTTGCCTTTTATCCTGTTGCTTTTCTTGATCTGTATAGAGATAATTGAATATTTATTTAAAATCACCACTTTAAATAAATGAGTTGATTTTTCTGTATTGCTGGTATTTTAGGGTTCTCCAGAGAGACACAACCAATAAGAGAATATAAATAGACAGACAGACAGACAGACAACCAATAGGAGACGATACATAGATAGATGAAGGAAGGGTCTTTTTTAGAGGAATTGACTCACACATGATTATGGAGGCTGAGAAAAAGCCATAGGCAAGTTGGAAAACCAGAGAAATCAGCAGTGTGGTTTGGTCAAGTCCAAGGTCAAAGGCCTAAGAATGGCATGGCGGGCACTGGTGCAAGTCCCAGATGCCTACATCCAAGGAAAAGGACATCCTGGCTGAGAGAAAATTCACCTTCCCTCCACCGCTCTCTTCCAGCTAGGCCCCCAGCCAATTGGATCCTGACCATCCACACTGGGGATTACCTCCCCGCTCAGTCCTCCGCTCGGCCACTGATCTCCAGAAACACCCTCACAGACACGCCCAGAAATAATGCTTCACCAGCTGTGTCAGTCCAGTCGGCATGGAAAACTAAACATGTAGGTTTGTTTTCTGGATGGGTCTCTTCTTTGAATAGAAAAACTGACCAGATGCTTGTGAGGAGTGTTGTCCACGTGAAGACTATTCAGGGTGAGCAGGCAGTCATTGGGCCAGGAGCACTTCATATAAATAAATAAGAGAAAGGTCTATCACCAACTGAAAAAAAAGAAAGGATTCAGCTTCCACTGTTGACATGCATTGACTTCCCTCCCCTCCCTCCCCAGGTTTCCCACGGATTCAACATAGAGCACTATTTCCCACCCCTGCCTTTCACCAGGGTCTCACATATACCCTGTCCTCTAAAGATCTCAGAAACTGTTGATCCAAAAACATGTGAGTAAGGAAGTGGGTTTCCTTCTTTTATAGTTTGGGGTTTAGAACATTACAAAACCATAGAGTGGGGATAGGAGTGGTCCCTAGACCTCAGGGAGACTGCATAAATAAAAGACTGTTGTTGTTTTAATTCTTATTTTTAAGAGGAGTATCCTCACTGAGTGTGGTGGTGCACGCCTATAATCCTAGCAATTCACGAGGCTGGAGGCTGGAGGATCACAAGTTGAAGGCCAGCCTTAGCAAGCCCCCAGCAACTTAGCAAGACCCTGTCTCAAAAAAAGAAAATTTTAAAAATGAAAGGACTGGGGATGCAGCTCAGCGGTAAAGGGCTCCTGGATTCAATCTCCATTACCAAAAAAAAAAAAAAAAGAGGAAGTATTATCATCTTTCTGCTGATTTAACTTTAAGGTTAAAATGCAGTAGAGATAATAATAAACCACACTCCGATTCTACCTTACCTACAAAGAACAAAAAGAGGAGCAAACAAATGCAAGAAGTAGAAGAAAATGTCGTGGTGCCTTCCTTGAGTGCAGACTGCAGCTGCTCCTCAGGCCTCCCTGCGGACTGTGTGCCGACCACCACCTCCATTCCCATGGCCTTGGGGCCCTTTCCAGTTTGCTCCCACCCCCAGTTCTCCTGTGGCCACAGTTCCTACTGCACTCCTCTTGCTTATGTCCCTCTGCTCCTCTGGCCACACTGGGCTCCTGGCTGTGTTACTGCCTGCAGCCATAACAAGCTGGGGGCCTGCCCTGGTGTGGGACCCACCTACAGCCTTGGCAGACTACGGAGGCTCACAGGGACATTTTAAGTTTCTCTAGTAATGCAGTCAGATTCCATGGTCTGGAGCAGATGTCACACTGAAGGGCGAGTTAGTGATGGACAGTACCTTTTTATGGTCTAAAAATTTCTCCCAGGTGGGTGTGGGCAGTTTGGGATTTGCAGTGGAAATTTTGTTGTTGTTCACTCTAGGTTCCCCCAGAAAATATTTGGAAACCTACATCTTTCCAATCCTGCTTCCTGGGATGACTAGCCTCCTTCACCAGGCAAAGAAGGAAAAGTGTTTGGAGGTCAGTTGTTTGGTGGGTGGCTCTAATTTTAAATCCTCAATAATTCATTTTAATCAAATGGCAGCCCATGATCTCTGTGCCATCCAGTTGTTATTCTCCAGATGATTCCTTGGGGTGGGAAAGCCTGTGTTTGGGTCACTTACCCAAGGCCAGCCACGACAGCTAGTTGTGCACATAGCACGCGCCAGCGGCTGTCTGGCCCCTGTGGCTCCTGAGCGCTTCTCCACCCTGCCTGCCGCCCCTGCCTTCTCTGGTCCCCTGCAGTGTAGCACTTACCAGGTTTCCTGGGACTTCCGGTTTATTGTATGCACTGATTAAAGCTCTTCTTACCTCCCTTTTGGCTCTGGGTTGATCTGCCCCCTCCCACTTCTCCCTATTCCTCTACTTGGGGCCACCTGTTGTCACTACCAGGAGAGGCCTGGAATGCACTGGGGGCCCAATAGATGTGGGTCTTTATCATCCTGCAGCAGCCTATCTGGGTGGATCATCTGATCTGGGTGAATCCCTGCCTAGATACCCTCAGGCGTGGCCTCTGCTCTGCTGGTCACTGGGTACTTTGGGCTTGCATGTTTCCTGCATAGTTCAGGGTCTGCAGTTTTGTGTAACAACACACAGAGGCTGTAGAGGAACAGCAACATTTGCTGTTGCCCAGGTTCCTGCTCTGCACCAGGACCCCGCTCGGTGCTTCACCCCTTGTTATTTCACTCAGCTGTCAACACAGCCCTGTGGGGTTCCCTCTGCCATCCATGTGTGCACTCTGCAGATGCGGAAAGAGGGGCACAGAGGTTTGAAATATGATCAAGGGCTAATGGCAAACTAGGATTCAAATCCAAATTAAATGATTCAAAATGACACTAAAAATGTTGGCCTGATTCCAGTGAATGCACAATTGATGTGACACATCCTGTGGTCTGTAAAACCAGTCGGAGTTCACGGCTTCACCTGAGTAGTTGCCCTGTAGCCTGGGTTCCCTCTCTGAGAAGAACTGTGTCCTGCCCTGAGAGACAGTTTTTGTGTGTTTGATTCTCCTTTAGCAAAGTCTTAATGTATACTGCCCCTCTGGCCTCCGAAGTGCCCCATTGCCTGCCACTTGATCCCCTCCATGTGACATTCCTCCTCACAGGCCTCCCCATAACAGTTGCGATTTACTTGAGGCAGAAATGGATTATGAGGCACTGGTCAGAATTTGAGTAGCCTGCTGTGCTGGTCAGCTGTCACTGTAATGAAATACCTGTGATAATCAACTTATAAAAAGAAGAGGTTTATTCTGGGCCAGAGTTTGGAGGTCCCAGCCCATGGTACATTGGCCCTACTGCTTTGGGTCTGTGGCAGGATAACACATCACTGTGGGAGCATATGGTGGGACAGAACCACTCGTATCGCCAGCCAGGGAGGAAGGAGAGAGAGGGAAAGGCTGGAATCCCATGGTCCCCTCAAGGGCACACCGCCCATCACCTGCAATCACCTGCAATCACCCGCTAGCCCCTACCACCTCCCAGGAGCACACTGTGGGGACCAGGCCCTTAACACCTGGCTCTGGGAGACACTCAGCACCCAACTCTGGCACACATTTATGAAGGAGGAGTGTGGGCACACCCTGCTGTTGAACAGTGGGCCCAGAACCCCCAGCCTGGCTTCCGAGGCCCTCTCTTCTGTCCCCCTCCCTTCCTTCATCTCCTGGTCTCCTTCCCCAGCTGCCGCAGTGTGGCTGGGCACAAATAACCGAGCCGCCACAAAGTCTTGTAGATTCAAACAGCAACTCTTTATTCCCCAACTCTCACCGGCACTGCACACACCACACGGGAACACACTCCCTCCACCGGGCTCCGTCCAATCTCTCCAAACCCCCGCAAGAACTCACGGGAACTCCAAAGTAACGGGCGCCCCAGGCAGCAAGAGCCGCCCTATTGCCCGACAGTAAAGGTCAAATATACAATTCAATCAATCCAGCATCACAGCAATTATATATAACTTAAATCATCATCTCAATGGTTCCCTGGTGTCACCTTACAAACATTCACTCAGCAAATGCCAGGCATCATTCTGACTGGGCCATGGCTCTCAACACCCAGCACCCCCTCCAGACAGGCAGAACCGCTCTGGGCTCCCAGGGTCAGCCCCCACCTCATGGCCTCTCTGCATATGTTCCTTCTTTTTTTAGAAAAAAATCCTTGGGCTCCTCTTCTCGGCATAGTTAAGCTCTACTTGCCTTTCAAATGCACCCCGACACCCTGTTAGGCCCAAACAGAAGGAATTGACCCCAGCACTCAGACTTCAGAGCACTTTCATCTGTTCCTCATTTTATGGTAAATGAAGACATTCTTAATATACATATACTTAATGTTACCCATGCCTGTCTTCCTCAATATTTTAAGTGCTCTGAGGATAAATTCTCTCTCGGATTTATTTTTATGCTCTCCTCAGTGCTTGGATCATTCCACCCAATGCTGGTAGGTGGTGAACGTAGAGTTGGCGCTTGATAAACATTGAATAAGTGAGCGTATGGTCAGACGACAGGACAGTGGCATTGTCACCCTGTCTTGACCCAAACCCTGGTCTCTTCTTTCTGGAAGGCTGTTCTGTTGGACTCATCCCTGGAGGACTGAGGGAGGAAGCAGACATCTGCCTACTTCATGGGGGGCGGGGCGGGGGAGAGTAGTAGATGGCAAAGCACACAGGCTGACCCTGCTTGCATCAATTTTGCAATTAATGAGTCAAGTGGGCCTTGGTTTCCAGCATAGTGATTGAGAGCAAGACTCCGGAGTCAAAGTCACTAATATTTTTTTTTTTGTTGTTATTGTTGTTTTTATGTGTGTATGGTTTTTGTATGTGGGTGCGTGTGTTGGGGGGGTTGTTTGTTTTGTTTGTTTAGAGTAATGGGGTTTGAACCCAGGGGTGTTCTACTACTGAACTTTATCCCAAGACCTTTTTAAATTTTTTAAAATTTTGAGCTGGGCACAGTGACACATGCCTATAATCCCAGTGACTTGGGAAACCAAGGCAGTAGGATGGCAGGTTCAAGGCCAGCCTCAGCAACTTAGGGAGGCCCTTAAGAAACTTAGACCATGTTTCAAAATTTTACAAAGTAAAAAAGGGCTGGGGATGTAGCTCAGTGGTAAAGTGCCCTGGGTTCAATCCCCAGTACAAAAAAAAAAAAAAAAATTTTTTTTTTTTTTTTTTAAATTTTGAGACAGAATCTCCGTAAATTGCTGAGACTGGTCTCGGACTAGTGATCTTCCTGCCTCTGCCTCTGGAGTTGCTGCGATTATAGGCATGGCTGAGGATCAAACCCTGTGCCTTGCACATGCTAGGCAAGTGCTCTACCACTGAGCCACAACCCCAGCACCTCCACCCACCCACATGACCTAAGTTTGAAATCCACCTCCATCCAAGCTGGCTGCACAAGCCTAAGCAAAGTATTTCATCCCTCTGAGCCACTGCCATTTCTGTATATGCAAAATGAGGATCATCTCAGAACTTGCTTATGGGTTCACTGCAGAAGAGATAAGACAGCCCCTTCAACGTGCATAGGACAGACCTAGAAAAATAAGAACTTGACAAATGTTAACTTGTTACTTATTATTAGTTTTTATGTGCTGCTGGTGTCCCCCAGGTCGGATGGGTTACACCTGTTACCTGAGTGGCCTGGGTCTTGTTCCCTGGTCAACTGGAGGCCTGATTCAGCCCTGGTTCCCATCTTCCAGAAAAAAGCATCCAGTCCTAAAATGATTTTATGAGGAAGGTTTATTTTCTTGATAACTTCCTGAGGATGCTAGGAAGAGGATTTTGTTTGCACCTGTCAAGCAATACTTCATTAATCCTTTCTAGAAGCATTTCTGCCCTCTCTGGACACCCCCTCCCCAAACAGCTGCTGTAGACCCCTTCTGAATCCGGAATAAGTCTGTACTTGCATGCCCTCAGCTTGCACGCCCTCTCTGCAAAGCTAACGTCCAGCATCCCACTTGCTCTCCTCCAGTAAGGTGCAGGTCGACTGTGGGAGACCAACCTTGTACGTGACTGAGTCACACTCCCCGGCTGGGTGCTGAGGCGCTCAGTCGAAGAAATGTGGCAGAGCTTTCCCCACCCTTCTTGGGTTCGAGGGTTGGTGTCTCGTGCATGGGTGTGTCTTGCTACAGCCCCATGGGTGGAGCTACGCTCACCTGTTCCTTTGTAATATAACCCCTTGCCCTGTTTTAGATAGAATCTTCCATGGAAGTGCCTTGTGTGTGTCCCCTTCTCTTACTGTGCCCTTGGGTTGGCCTACCCAGGTGTCAGTCAACCTGCTGACAGTGGACATCATGAAGATAGACTCAGCCCCCTGAAACCTGACCCCTTGCCTCATTTGAATAGCTTCTCCTCAATAAAAGGGGTCAGCGCGTGCTCTCTCTTCCTGCGGACCCTTAAGGTCAGAAGAGCTGTCACAGCGACCCCAAAGAAAAAGGTATTTGTGTCTCTTGTGTGGTTATTTTGTGCAGCCCAATTAGCCCAGTTTAACTGGAGTGACCCCTGAGCCTTTTAGTCAGGAAAACAGAAACCCAGCAGTCGACTGCTGGGCGTGGTAGTGCACACCTGTAATCCTGCGGGTCAGGAGGCTGAGGCAGGAGCATTGCAAGTTCAAAGCCAGCCTCAGAAATTTAGCAGGCACTAAGCGACTAACTCAGTGAGGCCCTGTCTCTAAATAAAATACAAAAATAGGGCTGGGGATGTGGCTCAGTGGTCCAGTGCCCCTGAGTTCAATCCCCACTGCCCTGCCCCCAAATGCAGTTCAACCATCATCCACAGCTTTTGTGGGTGGGAGCAGGTGCAGGAGCTTCACCTCAGCCCAGCTGAGACAGGACTGTAAAGACTTCTCAGAAAAGTTTAGTATTTTTGTTTGTTTTATTTAGAGGCAGGGTCTCACTGAGTTACTTAGTGGCTGAGGCTGGCTTTGAACTCAAGATCCTCCTTCCTCAACCTCCTGAGCTGCTGGGATTACAGGTGTGTGCCACCGCCACCCGGCT